TTGGACATGAATACTTCATGCTTTATGTTCAACTGCAGTTCATACATTCTTTTAGTTTCCATGAAAGCATTGCAATTTGACTCTGCTGTAATGATGGCATAGCTTGTGCCTTTTCATCTTATGTTGTGTGTCTAAAAGTCACCAAGATTTTAAATTTGGGAATTTTAAAATTTGGTGCCCAATGGTTTTCTGGGGGAAACCCTTACAGAATGTTTTTCCAAAAATGTATACCATCAGAATAGTTACACACACAAACATAAAAGCTTTATTGTTTTTTACTCACCTCTCTGTATTTTTATCGCTTTCATGAGCTGGGACACCTTCAACATATGTGCTTGGATACATCGCATCGAGAGATTGTGACATGTCTCCCTTGAAATCCAGAAACAAACTGTAATTCCCTTCCGCCTCCAGTGCATCGTTCAACTGGATCTCTAGAAAGTAAGTGCCTTTGAAGTGGTCTCTCATTGTAGAAACACTAATCATCTCATTCGTGTCCCTGTTCATCACCAGTGGATTAGACACTGTCAGGTCACTGCTGTGGAGGTAGATGGTGTTTGTTCTCTGGACACAGTGAAAGTTAACGGTAGAGTTCCCAGTAAAGAGCATCGTCTGGTTGGGACTGGTGACATTTACCTCCTCAATGATTCGGGTGTAGAGGTGAGGCTGGAGGAATACCTTGTAGCTGTGAGGTATGAGATTCTTTGGCAGCCGCATGGCGGGTGGTGGACCTTGGGTGGTGGGTAGGAAGGTTGGACGAGGCGTCGGTTTCAATGTAGAGATCTCAGTGTTGTAAAAGATGATCATGATAACAATACCAGCGATGACAGAGATAGTCAGGATGACAAAAGCAGCGCCGAAAGCCTTGGATATGATGGATTTTTTGGGCATGGTGGCTGTTTCCTGCGGTCAGTCCTGAGGGTCCTGTTGCTTGACTGGTAGAGATGATTCTGATGAGTCCCTGAGCTTGTGTGCCTTTGGTTTGCAATGACTGATCTGTTCACATCCAAGTAACCTCCCTCCCATAAACAGGGCTTGGCCTTAGCAATTAAGGGTCTGTACTTTGATTAAGCATTAACTTGGGCATTGCCGAAGGAGCAAAGAGTAAGTGTTACAGTGTGAAGAGGGCGATGTTCATTGGCCTCGTCGTAAATAATCAGTCAGATTGTGCTCTCAGACATCTGGAGGCGGTTACTGTGGTCTTGCCACTAATGCAGGGGTTAGGTAAACCTCAAGGAACACTTTATCCTCACACTGCACTCTCCGACCCATCTCACACACACACACTCCCTCACATTCCCTTTCTATGAGCATAGCACACACTGCCCGAATCATCATAATCACGTCTCAATGGAAACAAGAGCTGTAGCTGAAGAAAATCCTTCAGAAGGAGAACATCAGCGTCACCACTTTGGATTGTAGGTGAAGGTGTCCTGAGTTTCAAGATGCAGTGGTGTCTCCCTCGAACAACTGCCCTCCACAGCCAGGTAAAACCTCAATGCAGGGGGTCAGATGATGGTTTCCAGCGATACATGTCAACACAGATCCTGTGCGCTCAACAAACTCTTAACAAACGAGAAGCATATGAAGGGAGGAGTGCTGAGTGGGCTGGAAAAGAGAGGAGAAAGAAGAGGAGGAGAGTAGAGAGCAGATTTGGCTTGAAAGCCCAAACTTCAGGGAATCACGACCACCATGACCACACGCACACACACACACACACACACACACACACACACACACACACACACACACACACACACACACACACACGTCTCACCTCAGGAGAGAAAACACAGGGAGACAAATAGAGAAAGTGGAAACAGTGTAGGAAGAGAGTCCGTGCTGGGTGCGGCAGTGGTTGTTTGTACTCAGAACAGATGTGCCTGTTGCAGGATCAAGGAGATCAGACCAGCCCAAGCATACTGAAACACTAAGATGGCGCAACAATGACGGCAAATCATCATCGCTGTGAGACTGGAGCCAGGTGGAGGAGCAGCCAAGCAAGGCCATATTCCACATTATCTCTGATTAATGGCCTGTTATCAGCTGTAATGATGGTTATGACACTTGTGAGAGCTTTTTGGGAAAAAGAAACTTTTAAAGTAAATTCCATCCATTTCATCAAAAGTTTAACAACAGCAAATACTTCCCCAGTGCTTACTTATAACAATGTTCCATTGCATTGGAGTCCATAAAATTAAATTTATTATGTATTATGATATGAAAAAAGTGGTCCAAACCAGATGTTACAACATCTGTCTTAATGTCAGAGCTTTTTACTCACACTGTGCATTTTTTGTTCAGGAGGGATTTTCCCTCAGAAAGCAGGAGGTAAGTCCTGGAATCAGAGCTGTTGTCTGTAAAATGATTCATGTTTTTCATTGAAACTTTAATCTGCTGCCTTACACACACAAACACACAAGCCTGTGAACAGTTAAAGCTACAGTAAGTGACTTTTATAAAAAACTTTGTCGTTTTGCTGAAACTACCACTTTTTTGTGAGAGAACTACATGAAACAGATAGTCTGAAAAAAATCACACCCCTCCTCCTCTTCCAGCTGCTTCTAATGGCATTTGCTAGAACTAACTGCTGCTCACTGAAAACAACAAATCAGAGCCGAGGAGTCTCTCCTGCTGTTTTCAGAAACACATTTGAATGTACTGTTAAGTTGTAAAAAATTTTATCTTGTTGGTAGGTGGTGTTTTGTTTCAGCTCAACTTTCCATCATGGCAACCAGGTTCCTAACTTTCTCATTTTACAGCTAAACGGTACACAAAGATATGTTTCTGAAAACATTTGAGGTGAGAATTAGGCAATGCAATAACAGAATCTTGATTCATATTTTATCAGCGCTGCCTAGTTTGACAGAGGTTGGCATGACTGGCAGTTGTGTTGGAGACCCCTTGGCTCTGAGTCGATGTTTCATTACATGAGATGATGCCATTACAAGTGCTACAAGGCTTTTTTGTAAGATAATTGGTCTCATTTGGTGCTTCTCAAAGTCAAGGAAGGATTCTTAACAGCTGAGGTTCAAGGAGGCCACATCATTGACTCCCGCTGAAGGACTGTTTCAGTGTCAAGGATCCTTCCAATTATACCGAGGACTGAGTTCTTCCTTCAGAAAAAGGATTGCTCATAGAACTGTTCGTATGATATCCTATGAAAAATGCATGCACAACAGTTCATATGATATCGTATGAATTAGCACATAACAAATGACCTTAATGTACAGTTACTTTAACGTAAAGTTATGGATGTTAGGTTTAGGAAAGAAACACTGTGAGGATGTACCTTAAAATGATTCCATGTTCACATGGTTCCAAACACGCCACTCCAGGGGAAAATCCGGACTTTTGTGAACCAGCCATACCTCAACCTGCCTCCTTACAAGATCGCTCTGGACTGCTTCCTTGTTAACTCCCATCAGTGTATTAGATGTGTGATCGCAGCCTTTTGAAAAATGTGGGATATGTAGGGATTTGGGTTTTTTCGTAAGAAAACATACCAACAGTTGATAAAAGGCTTCCTTCAGAGAATTTTTAAGAATATGTGTGTATCCTTAGTGGGTGTGAAGTACCCACAATTGTTTTCACATGATTTGCCAGAAGTGAAGGTGGTGCCTCTTCAATGACGGACACCTGGACACTCAGTACCATGTTCCAATGTGTGTTCACTGAATGCTAGGAAGGAGTCTTACCAAGCCTCTGTAGGACCTGACTTGGAAGGACTTGTCTTACTAAGGAAGCATCCTTGACTTTGAGATGCACAAATTTAGTGCTGTGTGAATAAAGCTTATAGTTAGGGCTGGCGCGGGCTTACCTTGGGCCAGCCATCATTGAGGATGACATAGGACTGGTCTGCCGAGGACTCCCTATGACATACTGAGTATGTTTATGTTCAGGAACATTACCCTTGGCTTTAGAGACCGGCAGGTTTAATGCCATTCCAGAGGAGGACAGACTTTGTCAGGTGTGTGAGCTCGGTGAAATTGAGAGTGAGGTCCATTTTCTGTTTTACTGTCTTGTTTATGAGGACTTGAGGGATGTACTTTTTATTAAAATGTCCTCTATTTATGCTGATTTCTTTTGACTGGACAAGTATGAGAAACTTGAGTTGTGTTTTAGAAAGGGAACCTTTTTTGTTATTTGTAAAGCGTGGGAGAGAAGGCAGAATATTCTGTTTAAAGTCTGAGCCGTAAAAGGGGCTGTAATTATGTATGAAATGAAAAAATAAATAAATAAATAAAAATAATAATAATAATGTACACTGCAACTGTACTTTCTTTTTGGTGTCTTATAAACCCATGAGGGTTGGGCACTTTGTGCATGACATGTAAATAAAAATAATCAATCAATCAATCAATCAATCAATCAATTTACACACATAGTTAAGTTGAGCTACGGTTATAGCTCTACTAAGCCATTTAATTGGGCTACTGTCCTTGTCTCAGTATACAAGCACGTGAGGGGAATCGATTTATTGACCTAAGTATGTCGACTCTGTAGATGTAGATTTTGTCATGTTGTTACTGGCTTCCTCTTCTGTTACGCATTTAATGCTATTCGACTTCCAGGTCAAAGCCTGGGGCGGAAATTGTGGAGCATGCGCAGAGCGCCTAGGCCAGTTTGGGTCCAATTGACTGTACACATGCAGGAGTAATTAGACTCCCAATCGCATTATCTGGGTATCTAGCTTTGAGAAATTTGATTTGATCGAACATGTTTACATGTATTTCAACATGTATGACATTTTCTCTAATGTCATGTAAATGTGCTGACTGAGCTCCTCTCTCTTTCTGTCTCTCTCCATTAACAAACATTCATGTTCTGTTAATGCATGTTACTAACTCAGATTTTTCCCTGGAGCCTTTGTCCTCCCTTGTCTCGCAGGTTCCCTTTGATCATGGTTGCACCTGGACTGTGGGCCGTGGTTACACAAATTGTGATTTGTGATATTGGGCTTTAGAAATAAAACTGAATTGAACTGACTATAGTGACAGTTTCAGCAAATATGAAAAGAAGTGTATTTTTTAATAAAAGTTACCAACTGCAGCTTTAAGATTAAAAACAGTTCTTCATGATGAATTCAGTGAAATGTTCTCCACTCAAACCTTCCATCATATCAGCCAAATCTCACAAATACATTGATGCAAAAATACCCTCATGCATACATCTGCTACTCATACAACACATGAGCACAAGTACTGGAGTGAAATGTTCAGAATCCTTTGGTCCACTAAGAGACAAGGTTACACTAATGCACATGTAAACACAAGTTTGAGTTGTAAGACCTTTGGGAGAGAAATCTCCACAGTCAAATCTGTGACAATAAGGACCTCTGCTGTTTAGAAAGATCATTGCAAAAGCACTGCTTCCATTTCTGACTCGACAGAAGCAAACAGTTGAGGCTCATTGTAAAAAGGAACGAAAATAAAACTTCCTATACATTTTCTCCTGGTTCTCAGTCATTTCTCTCTTTTACAATTTCGAAGGCACTCTCCACAACTCTGAGTCACCATTATACTCAAGTCTTCTTTTCACATTCACTCTCAGCTCAGGGTTGTAGTTAATGTTGTCAGTTTTCCAGCGCAGAACTTTGGTGGAAACAAATCCAGGCCAGCACAACACAGTGCAATCAGCATGAAGCACCTTTGCTTTTTGGACATAATGGGCAAACTAATTAAAACAGTTGTAGACACACTGTGTATCATTGTCCTGGGAACGTGTTTCCAACTGTAACAGCAGCTTTCTGTTTAAGAAGTGAAAAAAAAAAAAACTTGCAGTCCTTTAATTTCATTTCAAGACTATTTTGTTATCTGCAACTATGTGCAACAATGTGTCCCTCTAAGGACATGTTCAGTTCATTCAAATGGGGACAAATATGGTGTGTGTATAAAAGCAATACATTGCTAATGACCACCTGTCTAATGTACTTAGTTTCAAGTCACGCAGTTGACTACCAAAGCCAGCTGTCTAGATGCTGAACACAGTAACAGGACTGTTCCAGGATGGCAGACAGCTCCCCATAGCTCTCCTCTCTCCATGTAGGAAGTAGTCTCTCATTGTTGAGGGCCTGGAGCTTTGGCGTCCCCTCTCGGAGGACGTGGTAAAGGCAGGGCCACCGGCTCTGGATACTCAGCCTGGTCCTGCGGTCCAGTGTGATGCCGCGAACAATCTTCTTGGCTCGAAGCTCACGCAAGGCAGGTAGCTTCAGACATGAGAAGACCAAGCCTCGGCTGGGTGACACGTCCAGGAACTCCAGAGACTGAGACTCCAAAATGTATGAGATGCCCAGGTTCCTCAGCGGCACAAGGATTTGCAACGTCAGAGACTTCAGGTTAGGCAAGGATTTGGTCAGGGTCTGCAGTGTTGTGGGCGTCACTCCTTTAAAGACCCAGAAGTATTTGAGCTCAAGGACTCGGAGCTGCTGGAACTGAGTGAGCAGTGACACGGACACATCCGACCAGTCGAAGTGTAACCGCATCTTGGAGATGCGTGGGCAGCTGTGGGTGAGTTTGGTCAGCAGCTCCTGGAAACTGGTCACCTGTCAAATCAAATCACACAGGTAAACCAACTGCCTGGACATTTTTCTGTATAAATGACATTTTAGTATGGAAAAGACCAGATCACAACGACGGTTCCTGATTTTTTTCCGTCAAGTCCCTCTATAGAAGAAAACCATTCCTTGGAAATTGATCATATTTTTAAATCCACCACTAGCAATAATGGGGATGTGTGTCAAAAGTGTCAAGTTGCCAGATTTTACTGAAATAACTAAATAATCATGCAAAGACTTAAGTGCAAGTGTTTTTCCCAGACTGACTCTAATGATCATCAGCAGTTTTCCCCCCAAATCTGTCTATGTTGTACTCTGTGTCATTCTGCTGTCTGAATATATCTTAATAGCCTTGCCAAGATCACGACATGCCACTGGCTGCCGGACATCACAGCTGATCCCTGCAGGACTCCACTCAGATCAGGACTATCTCTGGAAGGTTAATGGTTTGATGCTGTTTGACAGGCAGGGAGAAGGCTCAGTTATCTGTGAGTGTAGCTGTACTGTAAGCAAACAGTCTGAACTCAGATCAGTTTTCTCTGACAGAGATGAAAGTTAAGTTTTAATCACCAACTCTGTGAGAGGAGACAAGTTTAAATTTCCAGACTAATATGTTGCAGATTAATAAAGAATTCGGGCTTTAATGAAGTTTTTTTCTGCTTCTGAACAGTGAGATGGAGAAGTTGGAGTTTACAATGAACCTGGGTACAAATCCTAGTTGTCTCAGATTGGTTAACCGTGGTGTCCAAGTTTTTGAGAGCATAAATAGAGAGATGTTGAGCTTTTCAAATGATGATCAGTGTGTGCTTGTAAACCACCCCTTAAACCTGTCAAACACTGCTGGAGAAATGATAGTTTGTAAGTGTGTAGAATTATTTGTTGTTGTAGAAAAAAAATGTCTATATTCAATTTTTAAATGCAGAAACATAATGATTACATGATTACATGACTAAAACTATGAAGGATAAAAATGTGATTTTTGTCTCAGGACAAAGACTAAATCTAAAATAGCTGCAAAATTTAACACAGTGTTACTGTTATCTATCTTAGCCACAGTAGCTAGGAGGCTCATCAACTCATGATTGGTGCAAATCATAGCAAAAATAATATAAAAAATTAACTTACACAAGTTAATAATTTCTATATAGGTCAATCCACTCAATTTTGTGCCACTTTTGTGGGTCCAAGTCACATGAATTAATTATATATTGCAGGGTACCATGTTATTTTACAATAACCAAAACAGAAGACCAAAAAACATGAACCGACATTCATTTTGAATGGTTAGATAAAATTTTGCCCAAATATTTGTTTGTATCATAAAACCTGACTTCTTTGTTGCATGGTGGAGAGGAGACAGAACTGGGAATTACCTGCCATTTGCTGGAGGATTTTCTTGCCAATTTTGTGTTTCTCACTCTGCATGTAGGGTTTCACTGCCACCTGTTGTGAGTTTAAATCATTTTTTTCATGAAATACACACAGGCTTGTATGTATTCCCTTTAAGCGATTTCAGGCCGTGAAATCTTGGTTAAATAGCCAATTTCAACTGAATTTGCACTTCCCCTCGTCGTTCAGGGTACAGTGACGGCTGGCTTGCAGAAAGTGGATCCTCTGCTCTGAACATCCCAACTAGAAACAAAATATGACTGTTGCTGTTTTAACTATCCTGATCTGTGCAACGTTAATGCAAAGGGCATTTGGGAAATTATTTAAGAAAAAAAGATGTCACCAATTATTTTGAGATTTTACAATACAGCGTCCAAGAAAAAAAAATCATAAGTTCTGACTCCCTATTTTGTAGCATTTTTAAGACTTGAGAAAAATTGATTTAAGACATTTTACTACCAAATAAGGTCTTCTTTTTTGATTACTGAACTAAATGTCCTTTCAGACTTTTTAAGGATCTGCAAGAACCCTGTATTACCAAGAGTTGTTGTTATTATATGCAGTTGGGAAGTAGGGATCACACTGCACAATATGGGAAAATGCAGTGTACTACTAGCGCACTCAAAATGGTCAAAAAGCTGTGTGATTTAATTTTTTTTATTGATGAGCAGTCTATTAACTTTTTAATAATTTCTAGATTCTTTTGTTCCACTGAACTCCTACGCACATTTTTTGACTTTTATTTCTTACTATCTAGATATATGTCTACATGTTACTGTATGTTATAGTATGTGTGCAAGGCAAGCTGTTCAAACAAATTGCTCCTGGTGAGATTAATTAAGTTATCTAAATCTGACTCTGACTCCAGTCCACATGTCAAAGTATCCTTGGGCAAAATAGTGAAACCCATATTGCTCTCAATGGCTGTTCTGTCAGTGTGTGAGTGCATTAAAATGGCTAACTGAGTAGCAGGTGGCATCTCGTAAGGTATCTTCAACCACCAGTGCATAAATGTGTGTTAATAGGTGAATATGACAAGTAGTGTGAAAGCAGCGCTACACAAGCACAAGTCCATTGACAATTTACCATTTATCAGTTGTCTTACAAAGAGGGCCTGCAATGAAGAGTAGTCAATGTACAAATTCTCAGTCTATGCCCCTGCAGTTTTGTCCTTCCATCACACAAGAAGTGATAAAGCTAATCATCACAGAGGGAACTTTAAACACACATTTTGGTTCGAGGGTGGTTACGTAAGTGCAATGTTTACTGAGGCCACTTAAGTTCAGTTACCAATTGTTGCAATCATGCTTTCATTTGAAATAAACTTGAGTAAAACCCAGTTACCTGGTCCATCTTGGTTATGCTGTCCTGGTGCGAACTGGAGCTGGAGTGTACCCTGAGGTCCAGTGGCTCAAGAAGAGTAAATGTCCAGTTAAGGTCCAGGTGGCTCAGGTCTCTGCAGTGGACATTATCCAGCAGGTGACTGAGCAGGTCACCCCACTTGTTGCAGCGATCCCCCAGGTCGAAGCTGGCCTTCAGCGTGAGCAGGCTGGCCCGCCGGGAGATGAGGTGATGGGTGTAATGGTGGACCCAGGATTTCCACCTCTCAAACTCACGGTTAGAAACAAGCAGCCCCTCCTGACCCAGATGGAAGACGCCGCGACGGGAATAGTCTGCCACCCGCCACAGCTTCCATGAGCGGACCAGGCAGCTCCAGCTCAAGCAAACCAAAGCACAGCTACATTTATCCACCTCATTCAAAAAGGACAAGACGTGCAGCTGGCATTCCACTGGCAGGAAGTTGAAAGGAAAGAAGTCATCCACTGCTTTCCGCCGGCTGCTTACAGGGATTAGGGGTCTTTTTCGCGGCGACATGATGACAGGTGATGAAATAATATTGGTGGTCATTGACGGAGGGGAGAATCTCCGCCGACAGTCTTGTGGTCTGCCTTTGCCATAAATATCTCTGGCTTGGGGAAGTCTTTGAGACAGAGAAAAGAAACAGAAAAAAATTTAAGAGGTTGACCTTTTTGTTTCTTTTTTTAAGATGTTCAAGGTAGCAGGCAGAACAAAAATTACACCTACTCTGGTTCATTAAGTGGTCTGTCTTACAGCAGGCAGTGCAACAGACCTGAGGACACAGACAGGAAAATATCATTAGAATTCATATTAATTTTGGTCCACCTGGACAACACAGTCAATGCTTGGGAATGTGGACCAAAAGCTGGAGTACCAAAGAATTAATTGTCCATAAATGTACTAAAAAATAAAAGTACAGTTACATTGAGATGTATAGTATAACACAGATCTATAAATGGACCTGCATTTGTATAGCACCTTTCTAGTCATCCGACCACTCAAAGTGCTTTTTTACACTATGAGTCACATTCATCTATTCACACACACATTCATACACTGGTGGCCAAGGCTACCATACAAGGTGCCACATGCTACTCAGTGTTTTTTTAAACTCACTCACACACCGATGGAAGCATCATTGGGAGCAATTTTGGGTTCAGTATCTTGCTCAAGGATACTTCGACATGCAGACTGGGAGCCAGGGAGTTCGAACCGCTGATCTTCCGATTGGTGGACGACCCACTCTATCTCTGAGCCATTGTCACCATCTATAGACAAAGATGCTGACTTATTTGGCGATATTTTAAAGGGATAGTTCGAATTTTTTTTAAGTGGGGTTGTACAGAGTAGTCATGCAGTAGACATCTGTCGGCACACCCATAGATTAGAGAAGCAGGCTGGAGTCCGTCATAGAAGTTAATGTGTATGTGTATGGGGGCCAGCGACAAAACATTTTAAACCACCTAAAAAAAAGTCCCACCTAAAAGAATATCAGTCTAAGTGGAAGCTATATTGACAGTATTTTCAGCACTTAACCTTTCCATCAGAGAGCGTGAACAGCTTCATTTCCCCATCAATGCTCTCGTCAAAGCCACCGGTCTCCCTTGACAGTAATTTCAGCATGCTGAACACAGTAGCTGCTGGTCTACCCCAGTTTCAATCACTTAGTTAGTATTCTTGTGTGACTTTGTGTGGTTTTTGCATTTAAAAAGGTTTAGTTCAGATTCACCAATTACTCAAACAAACTGTTCGAGGAAGTGGTAGACCAGCAGCTCCTGTGTTCAGCAATGTCCCTCAAAGGAGTCTGGAGTGATAGAACAGCTTAATTTTTCCCGTTAGAAATCACTGTCTGACATTAAAGCAAAGCAGTGTATATAGTCTCAATATAGCATATTGATTTTTTTAAGTGGGATTTGTTTAGGTGGCTAAAACACGTGTGCTGACCCTTCTACACCAGTAGATTGCTTAGCTTCCATGTCAGACTCCAGTCTGTTTCTCCAAGCTGGGGCCAACTGACATAATACTGGATGTAATATACTGTCTACGATTAAGTTCCCCATATAACCCTACTTCAAAGAAACTGAGCTATCCCTTTAAGTTCTTACCCCATACTGAGCTAATTGTGTGAATTCTTTACTGGGGTGTCTTTACTCTTTAAGTCCTGTGTCTAAGTACAGTTGGGTGAAAACATAGTCGTTCTCATGCCCTTTACAGTTGACTGGGAAATTGACCACGCGAGCCACAACTGTTGGTGTCCCATTGTTACCCATAGACTATATAAAAGTTGTTACCTCAACGATGGCAACAAAACTCATTAAAAGTGATACACACTTGCTCAGTTTTCTCGCGATATTGAATTACAATGGAGTTATGTGACTCATGGTTTTTGCAACATGACTACAGGTCTGTTAGCAGCTCCAACATTTCCTCTCCTTTGCAGATAGTTACCGTTCAGCTTTCGTCAAAAAACGGGCCTATCCATAAACTTCAACTGTCTAATTATACAGGCTAGAGTGTATTATGTGACTGTTTTGCGCTATTGTCAAGAAAAAAGTCGCGTCTTTACCTTTACGTCGAACGCGCTCCCTCCTGTCCTCAGTTAAAGGCTAGCTGCTAAAAGCTATCAGAAAAGAGATCAAAATAAAAACTAGTTACAGCGCGTTGTTGTGGATTTTATAAGATTTGCTTTATATTCAAACGTATTATCAACTGTAAAGCAACTTATACATATCCCAAATGTAAAGCACAGGACTGAGTAACTAGGCCGGCTAGTTAGCTGCAGAACAGCTGAGTTCTGTTGTTGTTTTTGTTGTGGCTCGTTGGTGATGGCGTCATCAAAATGCGTTGGGCTGCACGTTTTGTTCCACGGTGTTTCACCGGCGGGCGGGTGTTGATATTTGGAAAAAAAGAAAGGGTTGAGAAAATATAAGACCTCAAGCGGATTTGGGCAAGTAAATGAATCGCCCTCTGCTGGTAATATGTAAAACAAGTTGTCTTATTATGGCTTATTTGCATGCTGTATGTCTTAAAATGAGATTGGATTTGGAATAATAGACAGACCCTCCCACCCAAGGGGGGACGTGTTTCCCAGGAATGTGCCTCTAGAATATAAGAAGGCTACATTTATAGCCCCATACAACAACATGCAAAATAAAGACATTTGTAGGCCTACAGAAAACGTGTGTTTATGTAATTACATTTAGCACCGCAAATTGCACTACACTATGGAGGTGCATTGCCTTCACTGACTAGGAAAAAAGAAATTGACGCCTTATCTTATAATTACGACATCAGGATCTCATAATTACGAGATCTTATGTCGCAGTTATGAGATAAGGTGTTATTTTTTCTGTACAAAACATCATGCATTTTAATTTACATTTTTAACAATTTTAATGTGTTTATTTGCACTTGACATATTTAAAGGCGTAAGTAAGTAAGTAAGTAAATTTTATTTATATAGCACTTCTCACAGAGAGGTGTGAGAGGACTCACAAAGTGCTTCACAAGATAAAATACAAAAAATACAATAACAGAAACAATGCAAAATACACAAAAACAAATAAAGTAAAGTGCAGCGAAATACAGAGATGATACAATGGACAATTAATGGAACGCATGCCTAAACAGATGTGTTTTTAACTGCTTTTTAAAAATGTCCACGGAAGAGGCCGCTCTCAGCTCATGAGGTAGTGCATTCCACCATTTCGGTGCAACAGCCTTAAAGGCTCTATCACCTTTCGTCTTTAATCTTGTGTGAGGGACAGTAAGTAGGTGGCCTTCAGCGGACTGCAGTGGCCTGACAGGACAGTGAAAAGACACCAGATCCGTCAAGTATGCAGGTGCTTGACCATGGAGGGCTCTGTATGTGATGGTTAGAATCGTGTGCTGGATCCTGAAATTAACAGGGAGCCAGTGCAAGGATGCCAGGACTGGAGTGATGTGAGTGAACTTATGAGATCTGGACAGAAGCCTGGCAGCAGCGTTCTGGACCAGCTGGAGGCGGTCTAATGAAGTTTTATTTAGACAGGTGAAAAGAGAATTACAGTAATCTAGACGTGAGGAAATAAAAGCATGGATGATCATTTCTAGCTCGGAATAAGTTAACATGGATCTGAGTTTGGAAATGTTTTTGAGGTGGAAAAAGCAGGAGCGAGTGACAGTTTTGATGTGGTCATCGAAGAGCATGGCCTGATCAAATGTGACCCCAAGGGTTCTCAACTTGGGGCGCACATTTGCACTGAGGGACCCTAAGCAGCTGGCCACTTTAGATGCTGAGGCGTCAGGTGCAATAATTAAAATCTCAGTTTTAGCTGCGTTCAACTGAAGGGAGTTAGAAGCCATCCAGTCCTTAATTACATTCATACAATCGTACAGTGAGTCAATTCCATCGGTCCTATCAGGGTTAAAAGAAAAATATAACTGGAGGTCATCTGCATACATATGGTATGAGATACCTTCAAAATTGCTGATGACATCTCTGAGAGGAAGCATGTATAGCGTAAAGAGGATAGGCCCAAGCACTGAACCTTGGGGCACCCCACAAGAAACGGGGGCAAATTATGATTTATGAGGGCCAACAGCCACAGAAAAGGATCGATCAGACAGACAGGATTTAAACCAATGAAGGGCGGTCCCTGAGATTCCTACCCTGTCCCTCAGCCTGTCTAAAAGGATGTGATGATCAACAGTGTCAAAGGCTGCACTGAGAACAAGCAGAACCAGGATAGTGGATTTACCGGCATCGGAGGCCATCATGATGTCATTGGAGACCCTGAGAAGAGCAGTTTCTGTGTTTCTCGGTCGCGTTTACACTACAGCTGGGTCTATTACACTGAACATCCCAAACCATAATGTCATCCAACATGAGAAAGACACATGTCCAAAACTTTAAGCAGCATTTACCTGTTTTTACACGTTTCAATATTAAAAACTCTTTCTGTAAGACCTTACCCAAGAGTTGCCAAATAAATCATTCCCTGCAATGTATATTTCTCCAGAAAACAGGCACTCTCAATACAACTCTTTTTTCTCCATTGTGCACACACACAAAAAAAGAAACTATACACACAGATCTGAAAACCCATCTATCAACAACAAGAGTCCAGGCTGCTAAACGCCAAGCACCAATCCACTGTTTTCACTCAAACAGTAATTTTAAATCACATCTTTGCGAACTTTTAAGTACAAATTGGAGCATTAAGCACACTTTGTTCACCTGGAAAACACTGGCCTTAATGCTACATCCTAACTAATGCAGGAGAAAGGCGAGAAGAAGAGAAGGAGGAGGAGGAGGAAGAAGAAGAAGAAGAAGAAGAATGCCTTGTTACCTTTTTTAGTTTTTCTCCATTGTAAACAACCAAAAATGCACACAATTCTGAAAACTCATGTAGCACTAACAAAAGTCTAGACTGCTAAAGTAAATTAGAATTCTAAATCACATCTCTGCAAACCTGAGAGCACAAATTGCATCATTTAGCACACTTTGTTCACTGGAACACTGGCTTCCAACATGACACAGTTTTTCACTGTTGCAAAAACACAGCTGGTGAAACGAGGGCAGTTTATCGAAACTCCACACGCACAAACTGAAAACATACACACAAAATACAGAACATCTTGCATCCCTTGCAAAAACAAGCACGACATTCAAAACTATTGGAGCTCTTCTTAAAAGGATACTTTTGCTTCCATCTTTCACACACAAGGACCAAATAAATAGTTCTTGCGCCACTAACTGCACAGAGCTGTGCTAAATGTAAAACAATTTTAGTTTTCTAATGATGTATGCTAAGAACAAAAACACTATTACTGTATGTCTTTGGCATTTTCATTTGTACCATGCTCAAAATATGAACACAAATGCAATGAGGAAACAAAATCTGTTTCTTTACAATACAGAACTGAAGATAATAGTAATAATAATAGTAATAGTAATAATACAGTTTTTCTCAATTGCTTACACACTATTACCAGACTTATGAACTAAATATCCTAATGCATAATGCCATCTCCCAAAAGACACACCCATTTCCCTAAACTGTTTACTGTATTGAGCTGTTTACACACATGATTCAAATTAGTTTAACTTTTAGTGCAAAACTGTTCACACAAATCCCCTTAATTATCATTGCCTGCACCTTGTGTTCATTCAGAAAGCACAAGCATTCGATATTGTTTACTCAGTCAGCAAAGGCTGAACCCAATTAGCACACAATTACCTGATAGAAAACACTACGAGACAAAATTGTTCACACACCAATCAGAACGTCTAAAAGGGCCCTGGGTCAGTTCATTTTTTAGAACAATGGATCCTGGAAGGCAAGAAAGAGGAAGAGGTCAAAGAAGAGGAGGAGGAAGAGGAGGAGGGAGGCCGAGGCCGAGGAGACAAGTAGTGAGTGATGAAATTCGTGCCACTCTTGTTGACCATGTCCTTGTGCATGGCCTGATGATGAGGGAGGCTGGGCAACGAGTGCAGCCAAACCTTAGCCGCTTCACTGTTGCCTCCATCATATGGACTTTCAGGCAGGAAAATAATATTTTATGAACATACTGCTCTCTACTGTACTCTACTTTAGATTGCTGTACCATGAGCTCTTACAGTACTGTACAGCATGTATATATTTACAGTATTGTAACTGTTGCTCTATCATTCTGTATGCATCTCAGTTACAGTATGTAATGTGGAATTACTGTAGGCTCCCATTTTGTTACAGTAAAAGGATGGTTTACAGTTACAGTATCCCATCCCACTTCTGTTTTTGCATGTGATGTGGATGAGGTTCTCTGGCCTGACCCAGACCAGAGACGCGATGCTGTACAAGAGTGAAATATTTTCTGTATTTGCCATTTTATTTTGCCATTTTCTATATTTATATTTTTGTGTAAATATGTTTTTCTTCTTTTTTTCCTCCCTTATGAATAAAAAAGTAAAAGCATTTGTCTATTGTGTTTATCATTTAAAGAGATTTTGTGGGGGAGAACCAGAAGCAACAGTATTTATTTTAGGTTTTTGTGGCAGTGTTATGAATTGATCTCCGCAGTGTCTAAGACTATGTTGTAGTGTGTGTGTTTTTCTGGACTATTGTATGATGTGTGAAGGCAACGTTTGGTTTTGACCTGGAAGTCTGATGTTTGGGGAGTTGAGTGTGCAGTTTTGGATTTGTGTTTAGGGTTTTGAGGAATGGAGCTTAGTTTCGAGAAATGTGTCTAAGCAGTCGAGAAAAACTGTAATAATAATGATAATATAATTTTATTTGTATAGCACTTATTTAAACAAGGTTACAAAGTGCCTCATAAAAGTGCATGAAATTAAGACAACAATAACAGTACAATATTTAAAAAATGGTAGAAGGAAAATAGTGTGTACAGAGGCAAAAACAGAACAAAATGAAATCTAACACAAAAGTCACAAATGAAAAAGTAAAAATCAGGCATTATAAAATCACCTCAGAAGTTAACTAGCAGCCCATGGAGGGAGGTGAGAATTTGGGTGATATGGGACCTTTGATTAGTCCCAGTTAGAATACGAATTGCACCATTATGTACTACTTGAAGCCAAGTTACTGAAGATTTACTAAGGCATGTTACCAGTGTGTTACAGTAGTAAAGGCGCGAGAGGACAAAAGCATGACTAAGCTTGAAGATGAACATAGACATAAACAAAATACAGTATACAGTATTGCAATTACTGTCCATCCTGTCTCTAATGTGCATCTGGCCAAAGCATTTCTTTTCCACCTGTGCCCTTTCTCCTCTTCTTCATCCTCCTCTTCCTCAAACACTTCTTCCTCTAACTCTTTCCCCCAAATTGTCC